GGTTTGTAAAAATTAACAATATTATTATGAAAATATATTTTGCTTAATTAATGCTAATTTCAAAAAATATTAATATGTGAACATAATATAGATTAGTATATAACGTAATTAATATATATTTCAAGTACTTTTTATGTTTCTAATATTTAGATGAGTGACACAAAATTCTCGAGTTTGAAAGGTAGAGTCTTCTATTTTATATTTATTAGTTACTGACCTAAGTTGCCTATTGTTTCTTGATCAAATTAAGGGATCCGGTCAGGTACTTCTTCTTTTAGTCATTATACTTGTAATGTCATTATTTACTTAATAACGCATTAAAATCCTATTTATTATTTATTCTTATAGTCTTCTCTTATTTAGAATTTTGCTGAAAATTTTACCACCTTCACATTCTGACAAATTATGCGGGTGATTCCTTAGGAATGCTTTGTTTTCCAAAATGTTTCTTTAGTTGCGTTTTCATTAACGCAAACATCTTTATTTTGAGCATTTTTCCATTATCTTTGAACTTAATAATTTTACGTTTCTACCTACACATAAATCACAATCCTCTTTGAAGTGGGGAGTCTGTAAATTCTTTTAAACTTCGTGTATATTTGGTTGTTGTTTGTAATTAAGCACAAAGCTACACAATGAGCTATCTGTGCTCTGCCCACCACGGGTATCGAAACCCGGATTCTAGCGTTGTAAGTCCGCAGACATACCGCTGTGCCACTGGGGGGCCGTGTATATTTGGTATGCCACTTTTTTCTGCAATATTATTATATTTCTTTAATAACTCCTGTTTCTCTTCGTACCAATATACCCTGAATTTTTACTTTTGTTTGTATAGTATTTTTAACTTTCATATTATGGTACTCATAAATATTTAATTTTCATCTCTTCGAATTTAGTTTCAATTTTTTGCTTAATTAAAAAAAACTACTTACAATTTTGTCGCACTGAAAATAAAGAAAATGTGATCAAATTCCTGATCTCATTAATAGCAGTTCTCAACTCCATCAAATTATTTAATTCAGTGTCCTCAACATTAGCCCGTTCTTTTTCATCTGATCCTTTGTCTTGTAGAAATTTCTTTACTCGTTTCTTACAACTTGTATCTATTAACTTCAAAGTAATTTGAAGCAATTGCTTTGTTGGCAACAGAGTTAACCAAAGCAATTAAAATTGATTTCAAAAAGTCCTCGTATTTTTCAATTTTGGTTGACACAACCCAAGATACTGCAAAAATTGATCGAATGAACCTTGTATGTCTGTAATAATCTTAATGAACATGACATACCCACAAACTAAAACAACTATACGGGAGCACTTTAATAACCACAAATCTTCAATCAAAACGTGCAATGACAAACGTTGTCAAACCTGTAAGTTTATGCAGCAGACTAACAATTTCTCTGATAAAGACAACCAAAGACAGTTCAAAATCAACAAAACCATAACATGCACTACAAAAAATGCTATTTACTTAATAGAGTGCCGAAAATGCAACTTCCAGAATGTAGAACAAACTGAAACAACTATACGGGAGCGGTTTAATAACCACAAATCTTCAATCAAAACAAACAAAGAACTTCCGGTTGCATTTCAACATGCCTATCACTCTCTTGACGACATGATACTGACAGGTATAGAGACAAATTTTACATCAAACAGAAACAGGGAAATTAAAGAAGCTTACTGGATAGCACTGTTAAATACTGTTACGCCGAATGGCATCAATCTCGATCCTGGGATTGTTGACCTTCGAGCGTCTCTAAAAAAAATTCCGAAAAACTTGTAATTAAGTTTGTAAAGTTTTATTATTATTATTCACATTTTTATTCATGCTTCTATTTCTTTACATTATTGTTTCAGGTATCGATTTACATTATTATTTTCTCTAGCTCTCATCTTCCTATTTATTTTATTTTTCTCTATCAGTCAAAAGTTTCAGACATGATGAAAATTAATAATAATTTTTTAGTTTTTTTCTCTCTACAAACGAATTCTCCTTTCCGGGAGACTAACAGCTTCAGTTGTGATTGGCTGGTCACCAGATTTAACTTAACTGGGACTTCTGGTTTACATGTCGTCACACCTCCTAGTATATTGCGCAGGCTAAAGGCCACCATTTGTT